AACCACCCAGTTGCGTGCCTTCTCCTCTCGTCCCCAGCCTAGCAGAGCCTGGCCGCGGTACGCATTCCCTTGGCACCCTGTCTCTGAGGAGGGGGAAAGGCAGCAGCAGGGAAGAGGGGCCTGTGTTTGCTGCCTGTTTTCTTAACCTGCCTTGCAGCGCTGCCGGGTGAGGCTGTCTCAGTTTGCAGTCATCTTTCAGGCTGTAGCTGACTATTAAAAGAAGAAGCTGCTTCTCCAGAAAAGAGCTTTGTGGCTCTCAGTGCAGCCTCATTCAAACTTTGTGGAGTAAAATTCCGGACCGCTGATTAACTTGAAAGCGCTCTTGGACCCCAGAGCTGCACGGAAGGCCTACCCAAAATAGTGACGGTGATCAGTCACTAAGGAACATTTGTTTGTGGTGCCGTGCTGTAGGAGCTAAGTTTGTATTAAAAGTATGTTTAATGAATTAGAAACGTTTTGCTGCTTCCCTTTAAAACTCATGAGAAACATTCATCTTTGCCCAAAAACGCATTCTGCTGAACAGCAATCTCTGTCAAGATCTGACGTCAGCGAACCAAACTACACACGAGGAGTCGAGCACCGTGTGCCTGTCGGCTGGGAAGGAGATGCTTCCAGCTGTGAGGCACTGAGTGGTGGACTCACCGTCGGCACGTCTCTGTTGATCTCTGTAGGGTCTTAAGGCTGATCAGCGTGGGGATTGTCTTTAATCTTTTGACACCCTCGCCCAACCATTCCTGCCTCTCCGTATTAACAAATCAAGTTATTAGCTCTTAATACCTGAAAATCTAGAGCTTCTGTGCCAGAGGGTAACAGAGAAACAAGATTAGGAAGATTGCTTCCAAAGCCTAGCATTTCCAGGCAGTGTTTGTAGCTGATCATTCGGCCCAAGAATGTCAAGCAAAGAACGGGCCACGAGACGAGGAAAAGCCCTGGAACAATTCAGAGTAAAAAAGATCCCTGAAGAATGTGGATGTGCTTAGATAACATTCAACATGCTTCCTCTGGAAAGTTGAGCAGCGAAAATACCCAGCAGCGCATACCCCTCTGCACTACCTTGCACCTTTGTTGGCAGCAGCAGGAGCACAGACATCCTTACTGAGGTAGCAGCAGCCATGTTCTGCATCACACGCTTCATCTCGGGCCCATCACCGTCGTCGGGAGAGCAGACAAGTAGCAGGCTTTGAAAAAGCCAGCTGGATGGCCTCTGTTGCCAGGTCTCTTCTGGATGGGAGAAGGGATTCTGCACTGCTAAGGGGAGAGAAATAATTTGGGAGAGAGAAGGGTCAAGTTTATTGAGGGCAGATAGATGGTGAAGCCCTGGGATAGGGCATGGAGTATATTGCCACTGAGGGCTTGGGTGCTCTGAGCTCACTTAGGTGCCAAGAGCAGCAGGTGCTGTTGTCTGATTTTCAGTGATTTTCTCCCTGGTGGCTTATCTCCGTGTGCATGCCGAGATGGAGGAGATTGTGTGTGCTGCATGGGGCTGCTGCTGCAGGAGTTAAGAACTGCAGAAATCAAATTGGAGCTGATAAGATCTTGATTTGTCTACTCTCCAGCCCTTCAGTAAATCTTAGACGTAAGAGTTTGCAGGGTGAAAGTTTGCCAATGAGAAACCAAATGTCTAGCGTGGGTCGTTTGACCCACCGGAATGATGCCGCAGCGTGTGGGTGAGCGTGCACTATGGGTCCTCATCTGTGTCGGACTCCTTGCTTTCATTTAAGCCTGAACTAAAGGGCTCTTCCTTTCAGCTCTGGGGATGCCAGATTCAGTCCCCGGCGTAGCAGTCAAGAGAGGGCTAATGGGCATTGTCTGGGGTTTGAATTTTGGGTACTTCGTTCGAACGGAGGAAACGCGTAACCTGACAATCAGTGGTTTTACAGCTGCCTCCTTATGCTCGGCTCCCAGAGGACCAGCTCTCCGCTGGGTTACAGTATTGCTGATTTAAAACTCAAATTTTATCATGTTTTTGCCCCAGCTGATTGCTTCCCTGATTTCCTGTCTGCCTTAGTCTGCTAAACTGTAATTTAAGTGGTTTCCAGTGCGTTAAGATTTATGTGGAGTCCTCGGTCGCTGCAAGACTATATGGCACAACTGTAGTTATTCGAGGTCTTGACAGTTACAACTAGACTACACGATTCTTGTCAGGAAGCTGAAAGTACTGCCATTTCCCTCAGTGCTAATTAGCTCCTTTTACCCTCGGTGCATGGTTACCTTATGCGCACGGCTTTCCTATATCTCATTATTCTTCCCAGTGATCAAATGGTTCGGTTAAATGACTCACACCCGAAGGAGAGCTGTGAAATGTGAGCAGCCTGTACAATTCGGGGGCACGAGCATGTTCCTTTCGATCCAATCTGAAATCAACACAAGAGCCCTTGTGATTCCCACAGTATCTTGGTTTATGACTTTTCTGCACTAGGTCCCTGCTAGATATCTGCATTTAAGCATCTGGATCTTAATGCGCTCATTCGGGTGGCCAAGGAAAATTCCCTGGGAAAATATTGCAGACTGCCTTCAAGATTATTGTAGAATATCAAAGAACGGGAGAGATACTAGCTTGACTGTAGTACCCAGGACATCCTGCTTTCACAGATACGCTCTGCTGCATGTCGACACCCCTTATACCCAGGACAGAGTTTATTAGATAGAATAACGACAGTTGCCAGCAAGCCCATTCATATGGGGTTTGTCATTTGTTTCAGAAATGTTGTCACTTATATTATGCAGAGCTTAAGTTTACAGCTATAAAATCCCCACCAGCATCCATGCTGAGAAGAGTGCATAGGACCTTAAGCAGCATCATAAAAGCTGAGTAGAATAATGTCAAATTATTTTATAAACTCTCTTACAAAAACTGCTCAATCAAAATGAAGGGGTCTGCTATCTGTAAGATGTGAGATTTAATTAGAGATCTCTAAATAGAATTATGAACCCAACTCCAGGTTTCTACATTTGAAAATTTCCATCATAAAGCACCTCCATTCATCTATCCTTACATGCATTGAAATGTATTGTCAGCTGGTAGAAATCTAATCTGACTCAAGGACTTTAAAGGCCTGATTTTTTATTTCAGATAGGAGTTTCTTACATGGCAGTGGTTCCATAAAGAGACTTTACACTGGGCATAAATTACATCCTCTTTAAAGAGCTATAGTATTAAGAGACTGCAGAGATTTTGAGGTATAATGGTCACTATCTTTTTACAGTATTTGTTTTGCTAGCAGTTCTAGAAAATTCCAATATTGTAAGAGTTAATATGCAGAGAAATCTGGGAACCTGATTTTGCTAGCACTCTGAAAGAGGACCTTTTTTTAGATATCATAGAAATGAAAATGCAGTTACTGTTTGTTTGACTGAATTAATGCACAAGCATGACAGGACTATGTGGTCAGAAAATTCATGTATACATTCAGGGGCCAGCTCCAAATCAGTGTAAATTAGCCATCTCCCATCGTCCTCCTTGTGGTTTACACCTGTGAAGGATGTGACCCACAGTATTTGAAATGCACTCTGGAAATGGGAAATAAAGGTTTGAGGAGAAGCTTCTATTGAGTTGACTTCCTAGGACTGCAAAAACATATTGAAGATGTTACTACCACATGACTGCTTTTAATCTGCCCTTTTGAATACTGTTAATGAAGTTAAAGGCTGACTTATTCACTCATATTTTTTTCTTCTAAGGTCTGAATTGCAGGCTCGTTCAGCCTACAGTGACAATTCCTCCTCATTTCCGTGGCTTTGGAAGGTGTCAAGTGAAATGAACTGCACAGCAATCGCATTTTATCCTCTGTTGCATATAAATTCCTGGGTTTTGTTAACGCTTTGCTGGAGTGTTAACTTGGGTATTTGTCCCAAAACCTGTGCGAATGCACATGGACCTGTGGTGATAGCTGTCGGTGTGGCGCGTGAAGCCGTGGCTCTGCTGAGGTTCAGGCTAGCAGCATGCTGGGGATCTGGCTGCTCTGTGCTGTCAGACTCTTGTTTTGTGGTGCGACTTCTGTTGTCCAAGTTATCTTCACCTGAATGAGTCAACATGGGCCAAGTTGACATTTTTAGCAAGGATAAGCCCATCATCTAGCAGTGTAAAATTCCCGGAAACCCACCGTATGAGGTGCCAGCAGCTGGACTCATGGTGGACATAGTCACGTGGTGGTAGGAGAAGCGGGGAGGACCCACATGGCTAGGCAGCAGCTGGGGACTGTGTCCGGTGGTGCTCACCTGTCTGCTGGGCCATTGCGTACCTTGCACTCCTGGTCAATGTTTCAGGCTGGTTTCATCTCTCAAGGAAGGCAGGAGTTCCAGGCTGGGGAAAATTAATACAAGAAACAGATGCGAACTGCAGGGTGGGTGGAAGGAGCGGTCGCGTCCTGTCCCAGAGACTTGACGGGCCCGTTCCTCTCCTGTGACCATTCTCCATCGTGACACTGGTTGCTGAGCATCAGCGCTGGCCCAGAAGGGTCCACAAAGCCCCCCCCCGCCGCCCTCGCAGCCTTCTCCATGGCCAGGCCGGTTCAGCCGCCTCCGGCTGCAGCGCACAGCCAGACCTGGGGAATGGCTCGGCCTGCCGGGACTGCTCCTGCAGGCTCTGTGTGCGTGCACGGGAGGGGTTTCAGGGGGAGGAGGGTGTCGGGGGCCTGCTGAGCTCGTGGGAAACTTCTCTGTCATCCACAAATGCTTGGGACTTGATTCCTCTTTCCGTGGCTTTGACAACACTGATGCGACTTAGCAATGTCTGTGATTTTGCATGGAAGTCGTCTGCTGCCCGTGACCTTGTACCTTTTTCTCTTCAGATTTGGCCATCCCATCATTTCCCTGGTGGCAGTTCCTCCAGCAGCCGCAGAAAGCCACCGCGTTTCCGGGCTTGGGTCTCCTCTTCGTCTCATAGCATGCGTGGGGACAGCTTACACAGAATGACGGGCTTAACGTTGGCACACACTGTTAGCGTGGCAGCCGTGGTGGTGAGAGCCTGGCTGACATCCTCTCTTTGCCTGTTTTCCCAGGTCGTTGCACTGTCGTCGTGGAGTCTCTTGAGAGATTCGATCTACTATACACTGTCTGTTGTTGCACTCATTGTGGTAAGTTTTTGAAGGTTATTCTTCTGTAGGAGCCCACCTGTCTACTGCCACTTGTAAAGGCCACCTGCTAAGAAATCAGTCTCGTAGCTCAGAGCCTAGCTCCAGGAGTCACACGGTTGTCTGCCTGTGGAAAAATGTACTTGTGATCTTCCTGGTTCTGTAGAAAAGCTGAGACCGAGGAGTGTCCAGAGAGCCCAGAGCGACAGCTGGGGAGAAGTGCACTGCCCCGCTCCCAGCCCCACCGCCAGCTCTGGAACGGATGTGTCCTCTCCTGACAGCGGCCCTCGTGGCTTCCTAAAACGTCTCACCGACCTGTAAGGAGGCAGCATTTGTGCCCAGAGGACAGAGATCCTCAACAACTACAAAATGTTAGTTAGTTTTTCTGCACATAGCTGGGGCAGGTCTTGTTCAGTACGCACTAGTAGCAAATCCTCTAAGGTAGGCTACGGATTCAGTAATTCTTAGTGCTGCTTCTGTTCCAGCTTTCATCAAGCTCAGTAAGTACTCTCAATCTCTCAGAATTGGGCTATACAGTGAAAACATGTTAGCACACTGCCATCGGTTTAGCATTACCTTTGCAGCCAATACCAAACAAAGTCAGGAAATGTAAAAATTGAGTTTCTTGGTAATAGTTGCTACTTTGCGCTTTTTTTTTCCCTCTTGCTTTTTTCCGCCCCCCCCCCCCCCCCCCCCCGCCTAGTCTAGGACCCTATCTTCCCTAAGAAAGAAGGAGTGATTTTGTGAGGTTAGCTTCCATATGTAAGCAAGAAAGGAACTTTAGAGTTAGAAGATGAACACTTGCATTTCTGAAGTTTGTGCTACTTTTGTCAGTCGCAGTTTCAACAGTGTGTTTTGTTTTGCCTTCATTCTGCACATGCCTATATATACCATACATGTTCTGTAAGTGCAAAGTGTCTAATCTCAAACAGAGGGTTTGCCTCAACCTGGTTTTATGTTTATTCCCCATGCTGCAAGGTCAGCCTTTTTGCACCTGATGAAAAACTACTTTTCTACATAATTATTAGCAATGAGCTGCAAAACAAAAACTTTTTATTTTGCTTTGACAGCTTGACAGTAACCTCATACCAAAAAGTGTTCCTAAACAACACACTTGGCCACACCCACTAATTGTAATAAATTACACTGCACGCACCTAAGGACATCTAGCAGGCATTCTCTTAGTTTACTCCTCGGGAAGCACAGATGTGGGCAGCTGCCTGGCATCTAGCCTCCCATTGTTTGGATTGGGCGTTTCATTTATTGCATGGTGGCAGATAAGTTAATCTGTTGAATCTGTCATTGGTTTTTAAATTCTTTAGGCAAGGCAGGTGTTTTCATGGCTGGTTCATCCTTGTGGTTGTCAGCTGTCATGATGTTGAGAACCGTTCTCTATTGTATTGTGTCTGGTGCACCCTGAAATTTCTGGCTATGTATCCTATGTAATGAGAAAGTTGTATGGCTCGTTGAACAGGCATCTGTTATCCTTAAGATTTTTCTCCTATACTTTATTAGTGCATTAGTGGAGGCTTGAAGGCATTGCCAGAACTCTTATTCCCATCTTAAAGCACCACGTGGCTAATTGTGGCTTGGGAGATGTGGAGCGCGTCCCACTTCGCTTCAGCGTTACTCCACAGCTGTCATTGCAAATGACTTTTAAACACCTGTAGAGAAAAACAGGGAAAGGTGGGAGGAAGGGAAAACATTTTAAATGGTTAAAGATTTAGCTCCCAGCTGATTACCAACCCTTTTATATGTAATATTGCTCCCCAGTTGATGGCAAATGAGGATTTCTCCTTTCAGAGTCAAACGCTACTTCAGTTTAAGAAGCTTCTCCTCCCTTTCAGTCACCCAGGGACCCCTGGCTTCACAGTGGCTCAGATCTTTCCTATCCTTTTAAGGCAGAATCAAATTTAGGTGGCAGCACATTGTTACTGAAATACTGACTCTCCAGTCCCTGATGTCTCTGCCGGGAGACAAACCACAGGCTCCATGCAGAGCATAGCGTGACCTGCGTGCGGTTCGCCCTCTGTTAGATTTCTGCCCGCCTTAAATTTTAGAAGGCGCTTAAATGCTTTGCCATATAGGGAAAAATTGCCATATCAGGGCATTGCTGTGGCTGAAATACAATCGTATTTCTTGCAGGATGATACTGGTTGTAGAAGGTTGCTCTCCTAGTGTTTTAAACAGCAGCTTGTGGTACTGTATTCTAAGTTACACTCCACTGGTGTCTTTACAAATCATAAATACGCCTGAGGGGAAATAAATACATTCCTGCCAGTGTTGAGATTCAGCAACTTTAAAAAGCTTGATATTCTGCCGGGTAAATCAATGTGACTTTGTCTTCTTCCATTTCCGCTCGCAAAGGAATTGCAGCACTGCAGTAATAAATAGCAAAGCAGTATAAACTCACCTGTTCGGTGCTCCAGGCCGTTTGATAAGAATGAGTGAACTCTAAATCACAGAGATCAGAAGTGGATAAACTGCACTTACCATACTTACCTCACCTTGATTCAGCCCTGCGATTGTTTTTTTTAACCCTAAAATACTAATACAAAGCTACCCTGTCTTCTCATAGAGCTTGGCAAAGCTGTTGCTCCTTATTTCCCTTGAAAGGAAGAAGATGCCTACGTATCTTAACGCGAAGGGACGTGGTCAGAGTCATTAGTGACAGCAGTGGGATGGCTGCTATTTTTAATCACAAAGGTCAATGCACACGCTTTCGTGTCCCATCACACCAACACATTGCAACCTACAGCAGGCCTTGTCAGATCAGATCGGGGTGACTGGGAGCTGTAACGTACAACACGCATAACGGGTTGTGGTCGTGTTTTCTTCTAGTAACCCATGCAACTATTGCTCGGCGCCGGCCGTCACGCAGGAGTTGTGGGTGACGGGGTGTATAGCTGAAGGGAAGCGTTTCGCCGTGCTTTCGGAGGCGCAGTCCCTTTCCCTCCCTTTTCTCTGGTGCGCTGCCGTGGAGGTGTTTCCCGCAGCTGCAGCCGGCGCCTGGGAAGGACTGAGCGGGCACCGGGCTGCTGGCGAGGCTGACGGGGCAGAGCGGCTGCCCAGGCCGCAGGTCCG